TTTGATGTGCTTTATTGCAAATAATAATAGATTTACAGTTACATGACATGAGTTACCAATTACTAAAGTTACCGAATCCGCCCCCTCTTCCAGGATTGCCAACTGTCGATGGTTTCGACTTTTTAGGTACTAATCCTTCACTGTTATCGTCAGTACCTCTTTTTAAAGCATTTAAATCGATGAAAGAGCCGATTCCTGATCGATGTGTTTTTAGTTCTGCCTTTTTCTTGGAAGCCATGGCCTCTCTGTCTTTCGTTGCCTTTTCCTCTATCTCTAACTCTTCTCTTTGTTGTTTCATTTGGTCCTCAATTTCCTGAAACGGGTCCACAAAAATAGCCGTTCGTATAATTTTAATCTCTTCTAATGGTCTGTCCTTTTCATCGGTTTTAATTCTTTCCATTTTGTCCAAAACTTCGAGTCCTCCGACCACTCGACCAAAAATGGTGTGCTTTTTGTCCAAATGCTTACACGAGCGGAATGTTATGAAAAATTGTGATTTATTAGTGTTGGGCCCGGAGTTAGCCATACTTAAGACACCCCTTCCTTCGTGACTAAATTGAGGCTTTATTTCATCATCAAATGGCTTTCCAAAGCAAGACTGGCCTCCGGTTCCCGTTCCCGTCGGGTCTCCCGATTGGATCATAAAGTTTTTAATCAAACGATGAAATATATTGTTCGCGTAATAATCAGTTTTGCAAAGAGTGAGGAAATTATGGCACGTTTTGGGCGTTTGATCGCAATATAACTCCAGATTTATATTTCCCAAATTGGTTACGAATCGGACGTAACCTTTCTTTTTGACTTTTGAATACTTAATGAAGTCTTCGTCGAGAACTGCCGGCTCTAACTTCGACCAAATCGGGTCCATAACAGTGGAAGTGAAGGCCGCGGCCACCGCTCCCGTCGAATAGTGCGCTGAATTAAATTTGTCCGCTTTTACCGTCTCTTTCTTCGCCACTTTGGTCTCTGTCTTCTCTTTGTTGGCCTCCAATTCACTCAACTCTTTGAGTGTGTCTTTAGTTTCGTTATTAATATTCCTCAAAGTAAATGTCGAATTCCTCTCCTCTTCGTCTTCGAGACTCAACTGATGTTTGATGTGATAAAAGTCGCAAACATTGAATTTGGAGATATCTTTCGGGTCTTGTAATACAATAATGTCTTTCTTAGCGAACGGTTCGTCCGTTAATAAGTCTTTCATGTGTTTGGCTTTGAGATTGAGTTCTTCGACCGCTTCGTAGGAGAAGACATTGCCAGTGGTTCTGATGGCAACGATATGCGAGTTGTTTGTGAATATCTTGTAGAGAACGGGACAGTGATTGTTGCCATCGTTGCTGCGATGAAAGAGCAGTTTCACCAAAGACTTCATCTCAAGTTTGGTGCCGTCGAAGGGATCCAAACCGAACTTCTGGACGAATGGCACGATATTTGCCAAATCATAGATCACTCCCTTTGTGTTACAATAGGGATGAGTGAAGGGCTGAAGCGATAGCGAGCAGTGATCCAGAGGTAGGCGTCGGAACTGATGATCGGCCGTCGCGTCCAGAAGGTTCTGAAGCGCTGTCCGCCCGCCGTATAGAGTCGACCATTCAGTACACGTCAGATACAACTTATCCTTTTGGTGCTGTTTTTTGCCCATTATTTACTAATTAAGTCAACTATTAATTAATTTATTGATTATTAAATGAGAGAAAAACAATACGTTTTGCACTTAAAATGTGAGACAATTGTAACCAAAAAACACAAACACTTTGTTTACCAAAGCGTCTAATAGTCGGCGCTTTTGTCACGTGTTTTGACCACAATTTGGGACTAATTTTTGAAAACTGAACACAACTTTCAATCAATTATTGTTTGTTTTTGTTGTCAATTGTTGTCATTATTTGATGTGTTTTTAATTAATCGCTTAATTACTGCCAAACATGTGTTCAGTCATTGATTTGATTGCAAACCAAAAGTGTTTTATTAATAGTAAACGAAAAGCTGTCAAAAGTTTGAGACATTTTTTGGATTCAATCGATAGACCAGAGGTTCAGACAATCGGTTCCCACACTTCGGACAACACATCGGTATTAATGGCTATTATTATCTCATTTTAGACCATATTTTGAGTGATAATAATATTGAATGTCTATTATGTGAATGAATTGATACTTTCAATGTATAACTAGTCATGCATTTCGTTGTTTTGTTTGCAAAAAATGCTTTCAATTATTGACAAAACATTGACTTATTGTTTGAGATGTCATTCATTGCAACATTAATACAGACATCGAGACTATGACAACGAAAGTGACAAACAATTGTCTCTTTATATTTCAATTCAAATGTTAGCATATTTTAAGTGAACATTATTTTTAAAACATGAAAATACAAATCATTAAAAGTTGTAAAATAGTGGACATCAATGAAAGTGTGTGTCATTTTGATGTCTCATTCAAATAATGGCAAATCGATGAGACAGTGATTGATGGCATGTATGGACTCACTATAGGCCTAAACAAGAGTTGCCAATGAATTGGTTTGAATGAGTCATTCAATTATTGATTAAACTTAAAATTGACGAGAATTACAATTATAAGAGTTACAGTAATTGTCTGAATATAACAATTATGCCTTTCTTAACATTTCATATTTAGTTCATAAATATCACAACTTCTAAAGGCCTAAACATTTAAGACAATATATTTTTAAACTCATTGCTAATTAGTGACACAGCAATCATACCTTACAACTCGTCAACTTATCAAATAAAGAGCGTTCAAATTGGTGTGTGAACACAGAATCCACATTTCAATAGAAATGTAGTTATAGCCAATTGATTGTCATGTATCCCATAGTATGCTGTGTCCATATTATGAACAATTCAAATCAAACATAGTTTTAATAACTCAAAATCAATCTAAAATTATAATACAACATGTTTTGTTTTATAAATAGTATATAACTGTTAATATATCGTTGATTTAATGAACAATTTATGTAATTATAATGAGAAATTAAGGACAAATAAATAACTATTTGCCGTTTAAATACAAAAGTTTAATACAAAACTATTTTGCGATTCTTTGTTAATTAATAATATGTAATTAATTAATAATTAACTAATAATATATTGATATAAATTGATATACTGAAATATATTTATAACCTTTTAATATTATATTAAACTTGGTAAGTTTACAAGCAAGTTTGTTCATGTGAACTAACTTATATGGATGTTATTTTAGAAATGATTCATCACTGTAGAGCCTCTGAGTAGGAGCTATCGAGGGGTTAGCCGTGACTTTCAAAAAGCCGTGATATATATTTTCCCAGAGAGAAAATGTGTGATACGTTTTCTGCACTCAACAACTTTGCAGTCATTA